ATTATTTCTTGATGTCTCGTGGAGCCATTAACTTCTATTTAGTCAATTCTAATTTTTAAGGAGTTATTTTCTTCAGTAAGATTTTCGACCTCTTGTTCCAAGGTGTTAATTCTCTTTTCATGTCTTTTCCCATAGCTCTCAAATCTTTTCCTGTTTTCTCCCCTAATGCTCTCATTTGCTTATAGATGTTTTTGAGTAATTTTCTTCTTCTGGGTTTGTGTCTTGAATTGTCATAATAGCTCTTTACGATGAGATTTTTTTTTGTCTTCTCTTTCTTCTAGCTTACTTCTTAACTTAGGACTTTATGTTAGTATTGGGTTCTACATACTTCCGGAGTAGTTGAAGTGGGAAGGGAAATGTCTGGCTTGAGCTTCTGCCCTCTTACAACCCACTGTTTTCATAGCTGAGGCTGGGAATCTATAAGCTTTTAGTGCTACCAAACTGATGTGATCTGGGGTGAGGTCTGTTCAGATCCTTTGGGTCTGACCTCTGCAAGTTTCTGACTCGGTTTGGGTCTGTTGGCTTAACCCTGGTTAGGAATCTCAGTAGTGCCACTGGACTAAGCCACTATCAGCTAACTGTGAGGCTCTGCAGGTTCAGAGTGACCGAACTGCAGGCTCCCCTTTAATCTGGGACTCCTGTTCTGGTTATTCAATTGTAGGCTTCAACATTGCGTTCAACTTCAATACTGAATTCCTTTTCTGCTCTTGGGATCAGAGCCACACTATAAATGTTTGCTTCTGAAATGTATTTGTTGCTCAATACACAGGAGGGCCCATGCTCTCCCTTAAGATCATCTCTACTCAGGATCTATGACCCAGTTCTGTGTAGTGAGCAACCAACCTGCCAGATGGCACCTGTTCCTGTCTTAGTTCATGGATCTGTTTCTGCCCCAGCACTTCCTGCCCTGGGGCACAGTTTTAGTCCTCTTCTGGTTCCTGGGTGTTGGAATACTCTGTGAACAGTGTGCTCCTGTCAAATCTTGTCCTATGTCCATAGAACTCTCATTCTGTTTCCCTAAGCTTCCCTGGGCCAGAAAAGTTACTCACTATGACATTTTTTTTTTGTTTTCTTCATCAGAATTAAGGTCTAGTGTATTTTCTACATCTTTGTGGAAGAGATTTAATGGGAAGGTATGCTATGTTGCTATTAAATACTCCATCATTTTGACTCTGCCTTCAGAGATACTGTGAAAGTGTTTTAAGATCAACATGCAAAGAATCTATGGGGAGAAGATACTAAAAGAGTAGAAAAAACTTTGGACCATATTAATAACAAAAAAGACAAAACTGAGAAGATTAGCAAGTACTTACCTACACACACACACACACACACACACACACACACACACACACACACACACATTCTCCCAACTATTTTTATATGAGTCATTTACACACAGACTAAGGGCATCCTTGTTGGAGTATTAACAGGGTACAAGGTGACTTTCAAAGTGATATCCATCAATGGACCACTTCTTTACCACAAAAATTCTTTGAGGGTAGGGATTATTTTTTTCTTTGTCTCTTCAGCACCTAGTATAGTGCCCAGCACACAGTAGGCTCTAAATAAATGCTTGTTAATTGCCTAAAAGATGTTAAGAATGCATTGTTTATTGTATGATTATGAAAAAAATTGATTCAGTAGCACAAAATGCTGCTTTAAATAAGGCTATTTTTCCAACAATATATCTCCCATCCATATACTTTAAAAAGATCACTCAAGATTCCCTGAAAAACAAAACAGAAATAACTTTTTTCAATGAACCTCTGATCTTAAATATAAGGTGAAAAATAAAACAGAGAGATGTATATTCTCCATGATTTTTTCCATCTTTGTGGCAAACACTATAAAGAGATGGAAGAGAACCTGTTCAGAGGCCAAGTTGAAGAGGGTTTATTCTGTGGATAATGAGGTCCTCCAGATGTTTCCATTTGTAGAAGACATTATGCTGGTGGCATTACATCCCAAAAACATAGCACACCATCCTGGAAGAGATCTAGAAGCATTCAAAAAAAAGTCTGGCCCATAGGAAAGTCCAAATGGATGAAGAATATCAATTGCCTGGATTATCACCTACATTTGGAAAGAAAACCTATAAAGCTTGTCCATCAATACGCATAACTAGGACACGCAGTACTGATGGATGTTAACGTGGGCTCAGAGTTGAAAAGAAGTGGTGAGTAAACAGGAATGTCTTTGGGAAATTGCAAACCTCCTTTAAGAACCCTATCTTTTTATGCTACCACTCTACCCATACTGTTGTGTGACATAAGAACACGGAATACAACAGTCTTTGCAGGGATCTGCATCACTGAAGGACCTCTCCCCCCCCAAAATTGATGAGCTCACAGATGTAACTGAGCATTTGAGTACATAATAGGATTTCCAGTTCACTTTGTTTGTTCCCATTTCTGTGCATTTATGTACTGATATTTGAGGCCATTAGTCTTGTTATTAATTCCTTTCTTAGATTCCATCATCTGTGAATTACTGGGCATCTCTATCACAATTTTTCTTCTTACACTGTAACTCTTTCTATGGTATCTAGCTTGGTGCATCTGCCATAAGCTTTTTTAAAAAACTTTCTTTTCAGCTTTGAAAAATAATTAATAACTAAAATAACTTATGGAGTAGGATGATAAGTATGTAAGAGCTGAACTAATGGGAATTATAGCTAATATTTTGTGAAATTCATTCAATTCATGTACATAACAAAGCATTTAATGAGCTTCTAATAGTAATTGTAATAACAGTGATAAAAGTTCATATTTACATAGTATTTCATAGTTAACAAAGTACCTTATATATGTCATTTCATTCACAGTAATTCTTTGAGTATAGGTAGAGTGTTACTATCCTATTTTACAGAGGAGAAAATATTTATATATTTTTGAGCACTTGTAACTAGGTGGTTAAAAGTGAAGCTCACACTTTGGATGCGGTTAATTCAATGTACATTTATTAAGTGCCTATAATGTGCCAGGCAATGTGCTAAGTGCTGGGTCCATAAAGGCCAGAACAATAGCTCTTGCCCTTATGAAGGACTATGATGCTACCAGAGGAATACAACATATACACAGACAAGGAAATACTAGGTAATTTGAGGAGGGATCAGGGACAACTTCAACTGGAAGACAGATTCAAGAAGTGGGAACATGGATTTGGAGAAATCAATTAGGAGGTTATCATAATAGTTCAGGTAAAAGGTAAGAAGCCTGAATCACAGTAGTGGCTATGTAGGTAGAAATAAGGGGATGGAGGCAAGAGATGTTGTGTCAGAAGAATCAACAGGATTTGGTCATTGTCGGGAGGTAGCAGGCAGAGTCAAGGATAACTATGAGGTTACATGAATGAGGTTAACCAGGAGGATGAAATGGGAAGTCTGGAGGAGGGAGAGTTCAAGAAGGAAACATGGAATTCTAATTTGGACATTCTGAATTTCAGATACTAATAGAACAGCCTGGTAGATATGTCCAGCAGACAGTTGATGCTATGGGATTGGAGCTTTTGAGAAAAACTGGGCATAGAAATTTGGTTTGAAGTAATTTTTTAATGTTAATGTCAAATGACTTAAGAATTGGAAGCAGGGATGGATTTAGAATTAAGAGCTTCTATGAGATAGAGGTGAAAAAGGAGTGCATTCCAGGCATGAGGGACAGCAGGTCCAACAATACAGAGAAGAAAAATGAGAGTGCTGTAGGTGAGGAACAGAGAGAAGACAGGTCTGGCTTAACCATATGGTGCAGGAAGGGGAGTAATGGAAAATAAGTCTGGAAAGATAAGTCGGAGCTAGGTTGTGAAGGATTTTAAAAGTCAAATGTATATATGTATGTATCCTATAGGCATAAAAATGAGCCACTGGAGTTTGAGTTGTTGCTGTTTGTCCTTTGCGCTGGAAGAGGACCATGACATTGGGAAGGTGATGTCATGACTCACAAGTGAATTGCTTTTAAGTGAGGGAGGGCTGTGCAAAGTCACTAGCCTCACTCTCTCCTCTGGAGCCATCTGGGTTCAGTAGCAAGATATAGATCAGGATGACTGGAGATGGCCCTGGATGCAGTGGGAGATCTTAGGTCTTTTTAAGCTAAAGTCTTTCCCAAGTCTCAGTTTGTCTGAGGCAATGCCCATTAAGACTAGGTAAGAAATGAAGCAAAGAATGGCCTTTTTCATCTAGTCAAAAAAAAAATCAATCTAGGAGGGGAAGACCCTCAGGATTTCTGCCCAAAACAGAAACAAGTGCTATTTAGTGACAGAGATCCATACTTAAGGAAAATCACTTTGGCAGTTGTGTGTGGCTAGAAGGGGCTTAGAACATAGAACATGAAAAGTGAGAACTTGATGGAATCTAACAACATAGAATGTCAGAACTGGGTAAGCCTTTAGAACTTAAAACATAGAATGCCAGGGTTGGAAAGAACCTTAGACTTAATCAATCTCAATCAAAAAGCATTTCTCCCTACTATGTGTTAGGCACTGAGGCTAGGTACTGGGGATACAAAGACAAAAGTGAAAACAGCCCCCAACCTTAAGGAGCTTATAGTCTAGTTGGGGGAGACAACATGTATGTATGTATGTATGTATAGTTATATACCAAACAGATACAAAGTGATCTAGATCTATTTCAAACTGTACCCCAACCCATCCTCACCAATTTTATAGATGGGGAAATTGAGGCCCAGGGAGGGGAAGTGACAAGATGCCCTTCGATTCCCAGCCCAGGGCACTAACACACAACACCACCACAAAATGGTTTGTGGAATTACGTAAGTATAGACCCAATTTGCTCTTCACCCCTTCCACTCAGTCAGTCTCACTTCTTCCAGATATACAAATTCCCAAAACAAGTTCCAACAGACGGACAAACTTGGGTGGTGGGGGTGGGGGATGCAGCAAGGGGAGAGAGTGTGGGGGTGCTTTTCTTTGGCTTTCTCAGCATTCACCACTGCTACGCATTAAGGGAAATACATGCCTGTTCAGACCTAGTTGGTGTTACTGACCTGCATTTCATACTGCAGAGTCATATGGAAGCACCACGATCCCAATCCTACCACTGAAATTGAAACAAAGAAAAACAACAATTAGCACAAAATTTGGGTTGGAAGAGAAGAGAATGCATAGGGACTTGGGAGTAAAGCAGGACAATATTACCAGCGTTAGTTATTTTCGAAGGAAACAAATTTCAATGAGAACTTGAAATTTCTAATATAATTAATAATACACTAATGGAATTTTTGCAAACAAAATACTCCATCAGTTAACTTACTAGTTAAGTTGTGTCCCTGGGTAAGTCCTGGTATAGAAGAGACCAGGTTGTATGAGCACAATCACTGGAGAAACAGTTTTGACCTTTTTGGCATGATAAGATATTTCAGCTGGTTTGTAAATCATACAATAAAACTTTACCCTCAATGATCTGAAGTGGGATGATTGTTATGTATTCTAACTGGAGAAATCAGGAAGTGTATTGTTAGTGTACTGATTTAACTGTAGAATGAAAGAAACATATTGGTGTATTTTGTCCATTTACAGAAATAAAGAAATGAGACTGGTGTCTTGCCTTAACTGGAGAATAAATGATGCGAGACAATTGGTGTCAATGAATTTCAGAAGAGAGGATCAGTGTTCAATTGGAAAATAAGGAAGTGGAATGACTTATAGGTTTTTTTTTCAAACACAGAATGAAAGAAATGGAATGAAAAGAAGATAATTTCAACTGGAGAAACCACAAAGAAAGATGAAGGATGTTTGGTGAATAATTTCAATGGAAGAAGTAAAGAAGTTTTATGACATTCAAAAGTAGAAGGTGTACAAATTAAGAAAAAAAGAAGAGAGATGGATCTGGGCCACCTTGAGGGTAATGGAATGAGACCTTATGCCCTTGTTATATATTGCTCCATAAGTTCTGTTTCTGGAGGTAGATAACATGTTTCATAATTAGTCCTTTCAAATTATGGTTGGTCAGTGAATGGATTAGTTACTAATTCTTTTAAAGTTTATTATTTTCACAATATTGCTGTTACTATATAAAATATTCTAGTTCTGCTCCTTTCACTTTGCATCAGTTCATACAAGTCTTCCCAACTTTTTCTGAAACTATTTCTTTATAATTTCTTATTCCATCACATTAATTGACCATAACTTGTTTAGCTATTTCCTAACTGATGGGCATCCCCTCAGTTTTAATTCTTGACTCCCACAAAAAGAGCTACTATAAATTTTTTTGTACATACAGGCCCTTTTCCTCTTTCTTTGATTTCTTTGGGGGGCATAGACTTAGTAGCAAGATCACTGGGTAAAAGGGTATGTACAACTTAAGAGCTATTTGAGCAGAGTTCCAAATTGCTGTCTAGAATCGTTGGACTATTTCACAATTCCACCAACAGTACACTGGTGTACCTATTTTCTCACACGCCCTTCCAGCATTTGTCATTTTTCCTTTTTTTTCATTTTAGCTAATCTGATAGGTATGAGGTAGTAGTCAGAGTTGCTTTAATTTTAATTTCTCTAATTATTAGTGATTTAGAACACTTTTCATATGGCTGTAGATTGCTCTGATTTCTTCCTCTAAAAACTTCCTATTCATATTTGTTGGCCATTTATCAACTAGGGGATGGTTCTTACTTATTCTTGTAAATTTGACTTTGTTCCCTATATATTTAAGAAATGAGACCTTTATCAGAGGAATTTGCTGCAAAGATTTTTTGAAATTTAATTTTCTGTTTTTTCTGAGTTTAGTTGTACTGGTTTTGTTTGTACAAACTTTTTCATCTTATATAATCAAAACAATCCATTTTACTTCCTGTGAACCTTCTCCTATCCATAGATCTGACAGGTAATTTCTTCCATGCTCCACTAATTTGCTTATGGTATCACCCTTTATATCTAAATCACGTACCCATTTTGAGTTTATCTTGGTATACTGTAGAGGTGCTGATCTGTGCCTAGTTTCTGCCAGGTTACTTTTATAGTCTGTCAAATTTATTTGTATTTGTTAAATACTGAGATCTCTCACCAATAGTTGAGTTCTTTGAGTTTACCAAATACTAGGTTACTGTGCTGACTTGCTTCTGTACATTGTGTACCTAATCTGAGATATGATGTTGCTACTCTCCTTTTCTTATTGTTTTTTTCCATCAATTCCCTTAAGATTCTGACCTTTTATTGGCTTGGCCTTATCATGAACAATTAATATTTCTCTAATTATTTAATGTCTTCATTTTAAAGATATTATGAAGAATGTTTTGTAACTGTGTTCATATAGTTCCCTGTGTCTGCCTTGGTACATAGACTCCCACGTATTTTATACTATCTGTAGTTATTTTAAATGGAATTTTTCTATGTCTTCCTGCTGGGTTTGTTCGTAATATATAGAAATGCTGATTACTTGTGTGGGTTTATTTTATAACCTACAATGTTGAAATTGTTAATTGTTTTTATTAGTTTTTTAGTTGACTCTCTAGAGTTCTTTAAGTAAACTATCTGCAAAGAGTGATATTTCCTCAAAGCCTATGCTCATTCCTTTAATATCTTTTTCTTGTCTTATTGCTATAGAAAACATTTTTAGTACAATACTTAATAGTAACGGAGAGAATGGGTATCTTCACTTTATCTCCTAATCTTATTGGAAAGGCTTCTAACTTATCCCCATTACAGATAATGCCTGAGCTTGATTTTAGATAGAAACTACTTATCATTTCAAGGAGAGCTCCATTTATTCCTGTGCTTCCTAGTGTTTTTCAATAGGAATGGGTACTGTATTTTTTCCAAATCTTTTTCTGCATCTACTTAAATAATCATATGATTTTTGTTATTTTCATTGTCAATATAGCCAATTATGCTTATAATTTTTCTAATGCTGAACTGGCTTTGTCTGAGATCATGATTGCTCTACCTTTTTTTTTTTTAAACTTCAGCTGAAGCATCATAGGTTCTACTCTATGTACAGCTTTCTGTTTCAAGTGTGTTTCTTGTAAATAACATCGTTGGATTCTGATTGTTAATCTGTTCTACTATCTTCTTCCATTTCATGAGTTCATCCCGTTTACATTCACAGTTATGATCGCTAACTGCATTTTCCTACATTTTATTCACTATACTTATCCTTCTCTTTTTTACACTGTCCCCTCTTTAAGAGTATATTTTGCTTCTGATCACTACCTCTCTTAATCTACCTCCTTTTTATTTTCTTCTTACCCCATCCCTCCTACTTCCCTGTTGGGTAAGATGAATTTCTATACTTAATTATGTGTGTATGCATATTTTTCCCTCCTTGAACTAGTTCAGATGAGAGTGAGGGTCAAGTGTTGACCACTCCCCCTGCCCATTGCCCCTTCTACTGTATAAATTCTTCCTTGTGTACCACATTTACGTGAGGTAATTTTCTCCAACTTTCCTTTCCCTTTCTCTTCTCTCAGTGGATTCTTCTTTCCCACCCATTCCACTTTTCTTTGATCATTCAAGCATGACAGAATCATACCCAGGCCTTCTGTCTAATTCTGTTTAGATTCCTTCTCAGAACCATGGTGATGATAAAGTTCTAATGGTTACATGTAGCATCTCCCCATATAATAATGTAAGTAGCTTAACCTTCTTTTTAGTCCCTTATAATTCCTCATTCACATTTATCTTTTTATGGATCTCTTGAGTCCTATGTTTCAATGTCAAATTTTCTGTTCACCTCTGGTCCTTTAATCAGAAATGCTTGAAAGTCCTCTATTTAATTAAAAATTCATTTTCCTCCCTGTAGGATTATACTCAGTTCTGATGGGCAGGTTATTCTTGGTTATATTCGGGAATATCATATTCCAAGCCCTCTGGTTTCTTTATTGTGGTATCTATTAAATTTTGTGTGGTACTTATTGTGGCCCCACAGTACTTTAATCCTTTATTTCTGGCTCCATGCAGTATTTTCTCCTTAACCTGAGAGTTCTGCATTTTATGACATTCCTGGAAACTTTCATTTTGTGGTTTCTTTCAGAAGGTGACTAGAAGACTCTTTTAACTTCTACTTTCCTCTGGTTTTAAACTGTCTGGAAAGTCTTCCTTTATAGTTTCTTAAAATATAATATCTGGGCTCTTCTTGTTCATGGCTTTCAAGCTAGTCCAATGATTCTTAAATTATCTCTGAATGTATTTTACACATCAGTTGTTTTTCCTACCTGATATATCATATTTTCCTTTGATTTTGTTTTATTTCTTAATGACTCATGGAGTCATTAACTTTCATTTGAGTAATTCTAATTTTTAAGATGTTATTTTATTCAGCAAGGTTTTATACTTCTTTTATACCAAGCTGTTAATTTTTTTTCATAACTTTCTTGGATAGCTCTCATTTCTTTCCTCATTTTTTCCTCTATCATGCTTATTTGATTTAAAAAAAAATTTTTTTTGCTGTTTTTATCTCTTCCTTTAGCTCTTGCTTTAACTCTTCTAGGAGTTGTTGTTGGACTTGTGTCTAACCTGTATTTTTCTTTGAGGCTTTGCTTGATAGTTTCAAATCAATGTCTCCTTTTGTATTTGTGTCTTAAGCTTCCCTGTCATCATTGTAGCATGTATAGTTGGGTTCTTCGTTTGTTTGTTCATTCTTCCAACCTATTTACTGATTTTGATTTAGGATTTTATGTTAATGTTGGACTCTGCTCACTTCTGGGAAGGAGTAGTGTCTAACACGAGCATCTGTGCTCACACAGCTCAGTTTAGGGGCTTCTAAGTTTTCAGTGCTTCCAAAATGGTGTGATCCAGGGAGATGTCTGTTCACCATCCTTCTTATCTGAGATCTGCAAGTTTCTGACCCAGGTTTGAGTCTGCTGGCTTGTGTGTCATTGAATTTCAGTAGACTGATGCTGAACTCAGTCACTGTCAGTCCAGTGGGAGGTTCTGCTGGTTCACAGTGACTGAACTGCTGGATCCTTTGTGGTCTTTGTCTCTTGCCATGGTTTTTCACTCTAGGATTCTATGCTGAGCTAGGTGGCATAGTGGATAGAGCACTGGGTGGGGAGTTGGGAAGACTCATCTTCCTGAGTTCAAATGTGGCCTCAGACATTTACTAGT